TGCAGTGCCAGATATTAACAGGGGCAAAGATGCCCCAAGAAGTCACAGAATGCCCCTAAAAACCGTGATCGAGGTGCAAACATTGCCCCCAAGATTAAAAAAAAATATATATATATATACATATACATACTGTATTTACCAGTTTAGGCTATTATCCTAATCATCCATTAAGCCATCATTTTATTTGTATTCATTTAATTTCATTTCCATCTCTAAAACACATGCATACAAATGTATGTACATAACGTAATATGTAACTTTAACTACATACTACTATGTAACACCATTACGATGCCTGGCAAAGGCCAATATCATTTTTTAATAAAGGCGTTCATCCAAAAATAAACAAACCGATCTCTGCTAGAGGTGTGGCTTCAGATTGTCTGCTTACCCGTGGCTTCACCACCTGCCCGTCAACACCGTTCACAGTTACCTAGGGCTGGGCAGTGTCTCAAATTTTCATGGTATTGATATATATTCAAAACAAAATATAGGATGACACAATACCGTTTATATCGATATACCTTTTATTGTGTGTTAAAACCAACAGTATTCCTTCCTGGTTGTAAACAACACGAGAGCTTTGGTCGTGACGTTGGGCAGACTCCCGGAATTCACAGCTAAAATCAACCCGTGTTTCACAGGTAGTTGATGGAGGCAAAAAAAATTGGTACTTCTCTCATTTAATCTTAAAACATTGCCGAATGGCTCACAGGTTAAAAATACCACAATTTGCAATATTTCTTTTATTTTGTTGAAGGCACTGCTTTGCATTTATAGTTATGAAACACTGCCTTTTATTTTCCAAAATAAAAGAAGATGTTTAAAAAAAGATGGTAAACTATTTTCATTTGAAAGACTGTGATGAGGTTTTCATTTTATCTATAAACTAATGCATTATACATACAGCCAAAGGTTATTAAGAGCTAAATAAAAGCCTAAATAAAAGCCTAATAGTTAGAACTGTCTCCTGCTTTCTCTCTCATACAGATGGTATTCTGTACACATACAGATGACTGCACACTTCTCTTTGGAACAGCAACATTATGTCTATTATTTACTCATGTTGGCACAAGGTGGTCATTACTGTATGTATTGTAATCTGGGCTCATCTCACATTAAAAACAAACTTTTGGCATTTAAAAACTGCCCAAAATTTCATAAATGCCCCCATTTGCCCCCAAAATAGTTTTTAAATTCCCTACACTGCCCCACGTGGCTGATATCCCTCACTGGCTGGGATAACCGTCCCTTTAACAATTTACCGCTGAGTTTATAATCGATGATGGATCACTGCAGTGGCACCCTTCACACAGAACCAGTCTTAAAGCACACAAACACCCCCTCCCTGCAGTCTCTTTTCACCCACAGCTAACTATGTGCTAACACTGCATCCTGGAGAAACCTCGTTAGCACCAATGACAGGGGCCTCGTCTGACGAGCACAGCTCGTTAACGTGCCCCGTGGTCCGAGCACGCCGGCCGATAGGAAAAATGGGGAAGAGAACAGACTACAGCTTACGTTCTGAAGGAAAACTGACTAGACAGGGATTAGAAAAGGATAAACGGGATAAAACGGGTGAGAGCGTGAGGCCCATGGGCGTGCCTAAAGAAACAAGCCATTTCAAAGCAGGCGTCCCAGACGTGGAAGCCAGACAAAGCGGCCGCTCGCCGACGACGGGCCCCGCGGAAAACAGACCTTCACTTTCATTCTCTCTCTTTCTATAAACCAACACCCCTCTCCAAAGAGAACAAACTGGCAAAGAAAACAACTATTTAAAATCACTGGGCGATGAGGGCTTTCAGATAAACGCGGGAAGAGAATAATGCAACTGAATATTGTTAAAAAGCTCATAAAAAAAAAAAGACATTTAACTGGGGAGGATACTGTCAATTATATTGACTGGAATAATCATGTACAAAACTGAAAACACCAACAAACGCCAATCCTTTCCAAAACACGGTTATTTTTCCGATACAAATCTATAAATGAAATAACATGCACACACGGACAGACACACACGCACACACACGCTTTGCAGGAATTTTAATTATTCACGGACACTTTTAGGTTTTGGCCAAAGGTTTCTCCCATCAGATACTCTGGATAAAGACGGAATACTAATCGGGGATTCTTACAAGGAGCTGCGTGAGTTCTGCGATTGCCTGACACGTGTTAGGGCTATAGCTTTCTTCTAGGTTACCCAGGTACTGGGAGATTACAAAAAAGAAGCAAGAAATATTACCCGTCAGAGGCTCTATCAATAAACATGTCTGCCCATTCATTCCACCGATGGCAGGGAAACAAACTATGGATACTGGGGTAAACGATGGATTAACTGGAATCCAGGACTGATTTTTAAAGTCCACCAGGAACATTTATGCAGATCCATCACTCTGAGCCTGCCGGCATAGGCAGGAAGACAAGTGGTCTGCAGGTACGCTGTGCTGAGGATATGGCTGGTTGTCGTGGGTTCGAATCCAGCTTCTCTCGACTGTTGAGAGACAACAAGCTCTGCTCTTCAGAAAGGACAAATGCACGCACAGGCTTAAGCCAGCAGTACCAAGCTTCACCTGCCTACAGGTGTCATAAGAGGCAGGATTCTTCACCCACAGGTCCTGATGGGCTGTAGCATGAAAGCAGGCGTGTCTGAAACACTCCATGGGAATGTATCATACCCACCATACATACTCCATAATAAGCTGCACCACGTAGGAAACACCCTAATAAGGAAGCCCTGTTTTGGACTGGCAAGCTTCTCTCAGACTCTCTTTTAACTTAGGTCTTTTCAATATTTATAGCTTAATAATAATTATGCATAACATTCTACATCTAATCACATGACCATTTATACATTATTTATATCAAATGACCATGTACAGGACGCAGCGGGAAACCACGTGAGCATGCAGCATGGTGGCCGTCAGTGGAGATCCCCTGGAAGTCCCCGGATCAAGGGCATAGGTTTAGTTTCAATATTGATAGGGAACCAAATCAGCCGCGAACGCCGCCCCCTTAAACGCACACAGTTTCCACGTTATTGGTAGGGACATGCCCTTACGGTCCATACCCAAATCTATGCCCTTGTCCAGTATATCACAGGGTCTGTACTGCAGGGGGGAGGGCTAGCGCTTTACATCCACGACTATCGTTTCTCTCTCCCTCTTTTTTTTTTTTTACTTTAAATCGATAGGACGCTATTTCGATTCGGGCCGGCGCTCGATAAAAAAGGATCGTCCCGCAGCGCATATCTCTGCTGTAGGTGCTAAGCATGTAAACAGGCTGCCTTCGCTGTGCTCGCCGACCCAGGAGTCCAAGATAAGACTCACCCCCTCCTCTTCAACAGGTTTTCGCAACCATGACACGTAAACCCACGGAGGAAATCCTGAACCAGACGAAGTGAAAATGCTTAAGCCCAGTGGCGAAATGAAAATACTGTAATGTGATGCACATTAGTAAAAAAGAGTAAAGAATCTCTTTTTAGTCCGATGTGTCACGGTACCGTCCTGAACCCCTTTAATGTGCAGCTTAACTTTAGTTTAACTGGCAAAGGCGCGGTCTACACACCACAAGATCGGCATAAAACGCGTGTCGCACTGCAATCTTCAATATTGCGATTTTATTCATTCATTTTGTTCAGCCCTCCAGCCACCAAGTCAAATCAATCACTGCCCTCTTCGTTTCCGACAAAATCACAGATGAGAGTATTGTGCTCTAGGAGGCTATAGCCCTGTGTTCAATCCAAAACGCACGTAAATGCAAACACATATACACACGCATGCGTGTGTGTGTGTGGAAATGGCACTAAAATACGACACATTATGCATAACCATTTGCTTCGGTATATTCCCTACCTTACAATTTCACCCAGGCAGCTCGCTGCACGTGTAAATAACACTTCCGCAAACCAGCAAGATATCTGCCATAGTTATTTCTCCTCCAACTGTTGCTTGCATACCGTGATGATAAATGCATTAAAACCTCTGAACACATACGCTGCAATAACCCGCTACGTCTATGCAGTGCACTTCGTACTCCCGTTCGCAATAACGAAGCGCTTTTCCTTATTAACCGTAAAACTACTTTGGAAACTGCAGTGTCACCCCTGTCAGTGCGTAAAAAAATTGAAAGCAAATAAATGTTAGAATTGTGGAGCCGGTGCTTTGCCATCTTCATGCACGCAGCTGCGTTTCATTCCTATAACACTGGCTGCCGGCATCCTGAGCTACAAGTGAGGTCTCCCGCATGAATAAAAAGCACCTCCTCGGGGCATTTAAATGGCCAAAAAGCTCCCGACTCTGCATGTCCAGCAACCGTAAACTGGATTTGTGAGTGTCCGCAAAGGGTGCCCCAGTAGCGGGGTGCTGCACGGACAGTAAGGCGCCAGAGCTCAAAGACACAAGGACACGGTGACGGGACTCAGGCTGCTGCATCCCGGGGAATCCCGTTTACCCAATCGGTTAAGTACCGCAAGCGCTTTGATACACTTCTCTTGAAATTTGCATTGGGGGGGCTGTGTTAACCTTAAGTTAAAAAAAAAATTGCAATACTGATGATGACATAAATCCAGCTGTGAGTCTGGAACATATGTTTCATGTTTACGTCTATGTTAATCTTCTGCTGCTTGCGGACTATCTGCAACACTAGTTAACCATCCTGGACATCTGTTTCTCTGAGTCAAACACGGGGAAACGTGCAGGGGCCGGCGCGATCGCCGCAGTGGTTTCAACAGGCAAGCGTTCGGGTTTGTTTCACTTGCCAAATAACTCGGTCTGCTCCCTTCTGCCGTCGCTCTTACGACAAGCGGTCACTTGTTAACTCCGTTTACCTAGAAGCGCAGCCCTCCGCCAGGATGAGCCTGGTTCCCCATCCCGCTAGCGCGCATCCCTCCGGTCACGCACCGATCCCTCCTCGCATTTCTGCGGACGGCACACCGCCGACGTGTCGCTATTCTCCATTTGCACTTTCTTAGGGGTCTTTCCTGTCACTTTACGACCTACCTTTGAGAAGAATAGCTGCCGAAACCAGGAAGAAAGAAAGAGTTGTGGCGAGACACCGACTCCCCGCGTTCGCCATGTTGAACACCTGCCTTAATGTGGCGGCGCTGCTGGTTCACCTAGCGCTGAGCATGGGCTAATGAGATGCGGGGGGGGGAGGGAGGGGGCTACCGCGTATTCGGGAGCAAGGGATGCGGGAGGCAGGCAAACGACAGGATAATAAGATGAGGAGTAGGAGGGAAAGCCAGGGGATAATAAGATGCAAAGATTTGAGGGAGGACGTTGGCGTGATAAGCTGCAAGGGGGCGTCCCAGTCGAATACGAGAGCAGAAAGCACGGAAGTTATGGGATAATATGATAAAAAGGGGGAGGGACGCAGTGGGGGGCAGCGGAACATGCAGTGCAAAGGCATGAAACGACGGGCTAATTAGATGCAAAAGGGGAGGGGTACATGAGGGGATAATTAAATGAAAAATAGGAAGGAAGGCGGTGGGGGTAATTATATGCAAAAAAAGGGGTTGGATAATGCAAAGATAATCAGGCAGGTACTATGAGTTTCACGAACAGGATTTAGATTTTTTTGTTTGTACTTGCCTATGTTTTGTAATAAAGTGTTTGATTAGCGCTGTTTTTACCGGATGTATATTCACTACATATAAACCAGTCTTTCACGATGTTTTTACATCGGTTTAGCAAAACTTATTTTGTTTTACTTGTTGCAAGTAAATTGTGTGCAAGTCACTGAATATACAGAATCAGTACGTTAAACTACTTCCTTTCGCATAATATACAGTTGCTGAATATACTGTACGTTTATGCGAAAATAGTTCACTTTAGTTGGGGGGAAAAAATCAAGCCTTTACACGGAAAGGTAAATAGCGCCACCGCTATTTTTCGGGTCTGTGTTGGCGAAGACTGGGAGGTTTTACAATAAAACTGAAAGGTTGGGATTACCCATTACAGTGTTACAATTAAAAAGCGTCCAGAATGCACCACAAATTATATTTTTTATTATATTTAGGTAGGTCTATAGATTGCGTCATACAGTTCTCGTTGTCTTTATCGTAAAGTGATTTTCGCAACCACCTCAGTTTCACGATGATTGCAGCCAGCACATTAAGTATGTACATCCTGGACCGATTCATCACAGCACTTCAACAAGTAGGATTGACTCCTTACAGGAAACTTCCAGATAAGCCATGCATATACGTTTTACTGCATTCCTAGAATTCAAACTGAATATTTAATATTTAAGGTTAAAGTATCCATCCATCTTTCAACTTATACCCTGGTCAGGGTATATAAGACTGGAGGGTATATAAGAATACAACATTTATAAATATATATAACAGTATTACACGTTCTGTTTTCAATAATATTTTAATCGAATTTGCACTATGTCTCTGACAGAAGAGGCTTTTAATTTTCCCTTTTTAGTGTTGTTTGTATGCCCAGTGTTTGAGTCTGATGCTTCTAAACAATAAAATGATCAATTTTTAGTCCATAATATAACTTGATATTGCCTCCCTGAACACCAGCCTTCAGAGACATCTATATTTAAAGAAAAATACGGGCTTTCTTCTCCCAGCTGCTGGAGCTTTGGTTCTGTTTTTACACTGTAATTTATTTATCACAGTGACAGAAAAATTGATGATGGAGAGTCAATATTGTTTTTTTTTGTCTATACCCTAAATATATTTACATGTGAAAATGTTTGAGGAAAGACAGAGTACATGAACTGATTTCAAATCTGAACCACAAATTTGATAGTGACGAACTATACGTCAATATAAGAAATATACTGTATGTTTTATATACCCAGAATATGACACTTGATGATGTTTGTGAGAAACTGAGAACTATACATTAATAAATGATTTCTAAACTGTTTCATGTAGCATAAACCAATGGAGCGCTGTACAGGTTTTGCATTTATTAGTGCATTATAATCATGGTTTTAATTATTTATTTTGCTTTGATGATATTTTGGACATGGAAATGAAGAATTATATTTCAGTTTTTTTTTCCATAATTGGTATGAGTATCAATCAATCATTCACATGGGATTAGGGGCTGGTATATCTTGGGGGTCTTAATCTTATTAGTGTGTTTTTAACCCTCTATATTAAAGTGGAAAAAATTTGAATTAGGCTTAAAGACAGTTTCTTGCTTTTCAAAATGTTTCTATATTCTAACTGTTTCCTTATCCCCATATATACTTGCTGCAATGAGGTGATGATGCTTTCAACAAATTAAAGATGATTTGCAAAAGAATTGGCACTTTACTGGGACTGGAGCACAGGCGAGGACTCGTCACTGACTCATGACTTAACTCAGAATTAAGTCACAAAGTTGATGACTTGTGACTGGACTCAGCAAAACTGATGGAAAGACTTGGACTCGTCTTGGACTTGAGGGAAAATACTCAAGACTCCGACCCAACTTGGACCCTGTGAAGTCGTGAAATTATAGTCCCCCTCTGGATTCCATAACGTTAATTTTACAATTTCAGAGTATATTAATTCTCATTTTCAATTGGCTGAATGCAAGGTCTCTTGAGATAGTTTGTTGTAGAGATGCATCACTTTATCCATATACACGGACATGAAAACTGTGTGAGTACAACTGTGAGTGGCAACTCTCTTTTCAACCTCTCTCTACTTGTAAAGAGTCTATACTATGATGTACTAAGGCTGGTTTTTGCAGCAATAAGTTTTAATCACTAAAAGTAAAAAAAAAACCAAACATAGGTAGGGACTCGAGTTACATGGCTCGCAACTCAACTTGGACTCGAGTCACAAATTTGATGACTTGTGACTTGACAGCAAAAATGATGGAAAGACTTGGAATCATCTTGGACTTGAGGGCAAATGACTCGAGACTTGACTCAGACTGCAATGTTTTGACTCAAGACTTGACTCTGACTCGCCAAGGAATGATTTTTTTTCCCCAGAAGAAGCCATTTAAAAATGTTGGGTTTCCACTGTGAACGAAAGTCACCATGTGACCCCTCACCTCACAGGTGGCAGTGATTTGACACCTATATCTGAAAATTGATAACTTGACAGTTAACCTCTCTGTAGAATACTTGATCATTCTCATAGTCATATTTCATACTATTCACTTTAACACCAAGATATAATAATACTTAAACACGTACACACTCCAAGATCTAAATAATGACCCAACATTTAGTACTCAGCCACCCTACACAGTCAGATAAACGAGAACGGCTCCACTTTGACCGCCTACGGTCACCCACGACCGCGGCGCCGTGGTGTTAAAAGGTAAACGGGAGCGCTTCATGGAAACGCGAATTAACAGAGCATGTGTCATCGCGGCAGCATCCGTGTGTCAGCAGTTAGAAAACTAATGACCTGGAGGAGGCATCAGCAACCGAAAAGCTGAATAAATATCCCCGATGAAACGTCTGCGCTCCAGCCGAACATGCCTGCCGTGTTTACAGACGACTTAAGCAAACGTGTGTAATGATGGGACAGCACGTGTTAGCCTTGTTTGTTTTACCTCCTCCCTGCTGATTTATGTACCTAATGGAGATGGCACCTGCACCCCTCCCCCCCAGGTTTATATGTGAACTGATATATGGCTGGATTTGTAGGATTTTACGATATTTAGATCCACAGATTCACAGTCCAGAAACATGCAGTTAGGTCAAGAGATGCCTGTAAACTGCCCACAGTGTGCGAATGTGTGTGCTATGAAGGACCAGCATCCCATCCAGGGTGTCCCTGGCTACTGCCTTCTGCCTCCTGGGACAGACTCCAGGCTCTTCACGATCCTGTACAGGCAGTCGGATGGAGGAAATATCAGAATCATTCAAATTCAGATACTTAATTCATATGTAAAAAGAGCACTTGGCGATTTTTCAGAACTGAAGGCAGCTACTCTGCCACATCATACACGCTGTTGTATGCAGGCCTTTATCTGAGGCCATTCAGGGCAGATTTACTGCTAGTTTTTTGTCAAATGTGACACATCTGCCATAATTCTGGCCTGAATCTTAGCCAGCCTTCAGTAGACTTTTAATATAAAACTGTACATGAAAAGGCTGAAAAAAGTAATTCTCCACCTCATTTAACACGCACACACTCACACAGACACGATACGTAAGTGTGCCGAAACATTTAAGGAAGAAAAAGCATGTTGTTCCTTTTCGGGCTCTAATATCATGAATCCCTCCCGTAATGGTTTCACCCCACAGGGACTCTGCTCCCACGGCCTTTTAACGAAACAAGGAAACAAATAGAGTGGAAAAAGGAGCGGCTGCACAGAATTCTTCCCGCGTTGGTGGCCCTGACAGGAGCGAAGGTGCGGAGGAGGAGATGGACTCGGACCCGGAACGTCGACCTCGGCTGAGTCAACACAGGCGCGTTTGGTGCAGCGCCAACGGCCGTTACGGGGGCTGTTTGGCCCACAGACTGTCAGCGAAATGCAGGCAACCGCTGCCATGGCGCTGGACGTGACGACCGGCCCCCGCCGCCAGCAAACAGCAGCTAACACGTACGACCCTCTCATTAACAACCTCTTTCTTGTTAGGCTCGAGATGCAATGGTACGTCACCCCCGTTTGGGTCAACGCCCGCTTGCTGGAAGTACAGATTCCCCGACAGAGGGGAACAGATGCTACTTCTGTCCAAAATATCAGATTTAAAAAAAAAAAAAAAAAAACAGCAATTTCTGCACTCCAGCTTAGAGGAAGCGAGCTGATCTACTCGCAGGTGAGTGTTTGCGAGCTCGTCGCCTTATGAGGGGGGGAGCGTGCCGGCTGTCCGTGGGCGGCATGCTTCCCATAAGGCCGCTCCACTGGGATTCGGCTCAGGTAATCGTGGCTGTCCGGCCGGCCCTTTGATCACGCACCTCTTTAGAAATTCCGTTTGTAAATTGGCCATCCATCTGATGTGCGGGTTCCTCCGGTTCTTTGATAAAACGGTGCCCCGTGTGCCGTGGCCGGTGTGGTCCGCTGTCTGTATAATGAATTGTCTGTTAAGGTTGCCTTTCATGTGGCCACGGAGGCGCTGGCCTGCCTGTGTGGCCCCGCACGAGCGGCATCCATGCCTTGCCGACTTCCGGCCTGCCTTTGGTCCAGGTTCTGCTGGCTACTGGTGCCTTTCGCAAACTAGCACAGC